AAAGTGGATTCATCTGCACCATTTACAGAGAATACTAACATTCCTTTATCTTCTAGACTTATATTATGAGCCACACATTCTCCTTGAGTGTTTAACTGTTCTACTAATGGATGTCGTAAATTAATTGCTTTAATTAAACCCTTGGATTGTTGGGATTTTGTTGGTGTCAAAAAAGGTTTGGTATAATTAAATTTAATAGCCGCGATAGCTCCGCTTTATCTATTCAATATCTATTCAATATCTATGAATATCTTTAAAGGTTTGGTATAATTAAATTTAATAGCCGCGATAGCTTCGCTTTATCTATTCAATATCGATGCAATATCTATTCTAGAAATCATATTTTCTAAAGGCAAAATTAACTCAAAATAAATAAAATATAATCTTTTAAGTTCTTGTTTATAAGTCTGTTTTACATAAATATTAATCTGCTCTTCTAATAAATTTACTTCGATTGACACTTTCTGAATGGTGGGGCTAGTAACTATAAGGTAGCTTTTTCTTTTACCCAACACAATAATTGAATTATCAGATATGGAGGCACTAATCATGTAATGTTCTAACTTAGTTAGATTTTTAGATAAAATAGAGAAAGCATAACCCTCTCTATTAAAATAATCAACTTTATTTGAAATTGTATCTTGAAACACAATGTTTGAAGTCTGCTCGGCCCACTTTGTGAGTTGGGCCCTTAATGTTTGTTGTTGTGAAAGAAGCTTGGTGTTATAGTTATTGATGAATTAGTTACTGGTAATTCGGGGCCAAAAACAACGTGCAGGATTTCAGGTCTATTCTAGTTGTATCTTAGAGTATTGTTCGGAATAACCATATCAATCTATTTTTCTCAGGACGACTTATTGGGTGTTACTTTATTTTCAGCCATGAATGGTCATAGTATAATGTTTTCTTTATAATTATCAGATGGTTGTAATACACCTTTAAAATCGCCTAGAAGATTATCTACCTGGAAAATTAGACCTATTGCTTTGATTAACGATTCTAATTAAGGCTTAATTGAGGGGGTAATTGAATATTATTTATTAATTTGTTTATTAATTGATTAGCAAATAAATAAGAATGATAAATTTGACTAAGCTTTTTAGGTGGTAAGACAATATCACTTGAAGCAGATATTGCCCATTGACGGTGTAGAGAAGATAAATCTTTAATGTGTTTTAACTCGAAATTGTCAAAGTTTTTCTCGCTAATTAATTGTTTAAATGTAGCAATATCTTCATAACGAAAATTTAATTCAGAATAATCTGTAATAGGATTAAGAAGTCTGAATTTTAGTAGTTTTTACCCATTGCAGTAGAACAATAATCAACTAAAGTAAGTAGACCACCTAGTTTTTTCCTCTTAGGCAATAAATCTAATTGAAATTCTGCTTGATTACACAATATTAAGTTTAAAGGACTAAAAACAGAATTGTAACACTCGGGAAGTTGTAAGTTCTTAATAAGATCGGGATTTCGATCTTTAATAAATTGTAATGCTCCTAAAAGGCTAATTATATTTACCTGATTAGCATGTTCTGTCCAAGTACTTCTTGTATCTTACTTGTAAGATACTCAAGTATCTTACTAGGAGTATATTCTTGATAATTTTTGTCAAACCACTCTGCGTTAATACCCAAAAATATATGTAACAAAAGCCACTCCTTATTATCATTTTCGTACCTAAAAGAAAAATAACATGGGAAATTGATTGGCGCTTCTCCCATAACTTCCATTTTAACATTGGGTTCAGAGGGAAATAAATTCCAACCAATTAATCAATTATATATTTTATTTATTAAAATTTCTGAATTACCATCTGAATTTGCCCAAATTACTATTTCTCTAATACGATAATAATATAATAGCCGAACTACTTTATCTCTGTCCATCCAAAAGAGAGGAAACATTATACTATGATCATTCATGGCTGAAAATAAAGTAACACCCAATAAGTCGTCCTGAGAAAAATAGATTGATAATGCATATGGTTATTCCGAACAATCCTCTAAGATACAACTAGAATAAACCTGAGATACTGCACGTTGTTTTGGCCCCGATTTACCAGTAACTAATTCATCAATAACTATAACACCAACCCTTATTCAATAAAGTACTTAAATGAGTAATAAGGGAATAAGTTGGAAACCCATTTGAAGTAAAAATCTTCTAAAGATTTTCATATCAAGTAAAGAGGGAACTTGTTCAATAAAAGGCATCACCTCTAAAGGCTTACTCCGCATGAAGGACTCAATTAATAACTCGGCTTGAGAGTATGCTTGTTGCCTACTAGGGGTGTCAGGCTTATGCCAAAGTTCATAGAACTTACCAATTGAATAAGCTGGATGACTGATAATCCATACTTAGAACAATTCTCCTCTGCTAAGTTAAAATAAAGCATAGTTATCTGATTCATTTTAATTTACGGTTAACCTCTATAAATTTAAGGCTCGAACAGCAATTTTACCACGTAAACGATAATAGTTACCATAATAACTAAACCAATGGCAGATTCTGCAGCCGCAACAGTTAAAATTACAATCACAAAAATTTGACCAAAAAGCGTATAGAGCACACGAGATTCAAATAGAAGTAAAATAGTAGAAGCCAGTAAAACTAGCTCTACACACATTAACATAATAATTAAATTACTTCTATTAAGAATAATACCTAATATTCCGATTAATAAGATGATAATTGATAACACTAAATAATTCATGCGCCAATACTAATTACAAGCTATAAACTGACACTTTTTCCATGTCCGGTTGTTTATATCATTAATAGATAAGATGCCCCTAAAACTACAATTGATAATGTCCCACTAATGATAAATAGTATTAGTATTCCTTTGAATTCCATGTTCCTCTCCATATTCCTAAGCGGAGACGTGCATTAGCACTTGACCAGACAGCACCTGAAGGTGCTTCTGCTGATTTGTAGGAAAAGATCTTGCCTACTACTTGATGATTCCTCGTGGGAATTATATAAAAAAGGTGAATTTGCCTGTTTAGCTAATAATCTAGCCCCTATCACAGCGACTAGTAGCACCAAACTAGCAATTATTACTAATTCATAATAAGTAGAAAAAGATGACTTCCAATTGCCCCAATGTTAGTTCTTGATCCTATAACAGGATTGCTGATATATTTAGGGATATTGGTTAGTGAACTATAAAATAGGAATATAACAGATAGTCCTACAGGTAAAAAATGTGAGTAATCTTGAGAGTCTAATTTATTAGGCTGTTGAATTAACATAATGACGAACAGGAATAAAATAGCAATAGCCCCTCATACATAATTATAAATATTAAGTCTATATAGTCTAATCCCAACGATATAAACATAACAGCAGCATTAACAAAAGCAGTAACTAACCACAATACTGAATAAATAGGATTCGACGTAGATATAACCATAAGAATAGCTCCAACTTTTCCTAATGAGAATACTATAAATAAACTACTCGTATTATTTAATATATTTCCTGCAGCCATATCGATCTCTATAGGGGCTACTAATTGTCATCGCCCGCCTATTCTTAATCATTGGACTAACTAACATAACACTATATGCAGGGGCGGATCTAGACCGATGCAACCGATGCGAATGCATCGGTCAAAATATTTACATATTAAAATCTGCGAGTTTGCATTTTAATGAAATAAATAGCAAATATTATTTTCGAATTATTTAAAACGCACATTTGACAGTGATATATTGTTTAGTTAACTTATAGATTTCGCAGTTTTAAGCTAAAATTTGTTCTAGAAATAACATTTGTGTTCTCCGATAATTTTGTCGTATTCCATGACACAAATAGCGAAAGAAAAGTCGATAAAATTTAGCGAAATTTTGTCGTGAATACATAATTAGTAAGTAATTATAGTATTCTGCCAGCACGTCACGGTAGATGGAAGAGGCATCGCTACGTCACAGTAGATTTGCGATGCATCGGTCGATGCATCGGTCCCGAGTCCTTTTCCGCGTGAAATCTACTGTGACATCAGCAAAACCATTGTTTTAGGGCCTCACGTCACGGTAGATTTTGCCGCTGAGCGATGCATTTTCCATAATTTTGTGATTGTGGGCACATGGCACCGATGCATTCAACTTTGAACTTCAAAGTTGAATGCATTGTTATTTGATCACTTGATATAACTCGCAATCATCGATCGAAGTCATGGCTGTCGAGAATATCAAACACGATCTGTGTACTCTGCTTCGAGAAGAGAAGTCATTTGATATTAATGGAGTGCGTCGAACCTATGAAACGAGAGCTGCTACTTTTATTTCAAAATCCTCTCCTTGGAATCCCTTTTCAAAGGGTAAAAATGGGAGATATGTCAAGTGAAATGTTAATACCTAAGCACTTGACAGTTCATTGGCAAAGTGGAGAACTAAGAGCTTTAAAGTAAGTAAATTTACCTTTATGCTTGCATGTTTTAAATGTAAATAGTGTACTCATTTCAGACTCAGAGTGTAGTCGTGTAGATAACGACGAACAATCATCATAAAATATACACGATGTCATATTACTTATGCAGCACTTATACTTGTATTCATATGTAATATAATACAAACTGTAATATGCAGGGGTAGGTGCGATTTTAGTTGCATTTTAGTTTATGTATTGTATGGATTACATTAAAAATGTAATGACTGTATTCCTTCTTCCAATATACTTATGACTTCAGTAGAAGCTAACATTTTCTTTTCCAAATAACCCTGTCAGACATTTAAGTTTTGAATTCTTCTGATTTCTAATTTTTAGCCACACAATGAGAATTTTCTTAACTCTGCTATATTTAGAACTAGAGGTGATGGTAATTGTCTGTACAGAGCCTGCTCAAAATTACTTTGTGGCAAGGAAGACCTATGTCATTTGCTGAGAGACTTGACAAGCATTGAGCTATTCAATCACCAGGAGTATTATGCTAACCACCCTTACTTAAAAGATAAGTTGCATTTTTAAGTCAGAAAATACTGCTTTTCTGCATCAGTATCAGATGTGGCTTTAGGCAATGGCTATGATAGGAAAAATCCAAGCACAAAGGTAATAGTAGTTAAAGAGGAAGCTCTAAATAATGCATGCAATGGTACTTATTCTTCACTTATGTGTATATTTGGTTTGTCTTCTGTCACTGGAATGACTATAATTTCAGTTTATCCCGAAAAGTTGGACCAGGAGACCAAATATTCACAATTTCTAAATGGTAAAATTCTTCCACGGCAAGCACACCAACATATTTCAAGTCAACTTGTTCAGCCTGCTAAGTTAATTTTAATGTGGACAACTACTGGTGCTTATTCTCTTCCAGAATTAGATATAGAATTTCAACCCAATCATTTTGTACCACTAATTGAATTTAATCAAACTAATAACTCAAGAGTTAATAATAAAAAAAAAATTACTGACCACTTTAAAGTTGATGTCTTACAGAAAAATAAAAGTGGACTTGAGCAACAAATAGACACAACTTTGGTAGCACCTGCAAAATCCTCACCAAGGGAAGACTTAGATGGCAGCAGCTATGATTGCTTGAAGACTTCCTTAAAACGTGGGTTAAATTAGTGATTGTTCATGTGCAAATATATTTTAATTATAGGTAAGCATGCTTTTCTAAGAACATAAGTAAAGCATACCATGCAATATAAAGTATTCGTTGTGGGATGGAGGATATTTTTGTACATGTGAATAAATCCTTCCTTCTAAACATGAGATCGTCAAATTGGCAACAAGCTTTCACTCAAATGCACCAAAACAATGACCTATGATATATGACCTTGCATGTTAACGCATTCAGGCTTTATTATTTTGAATGTAGTCGTATACCTACATCTTAGTAATGTTTTATTTAGGACCTCTTTCATGCGACTTTGAAGATGGAAAAGTATCAAATGCTTCTTGTCCCTTGTCAAAATCTGTAAAAACTGATATGACAGATGTTGATCCCTTGGATATTGGACATTTTGTATCTGTGGCGGCCCTAGATGACGACACAAAGCTAAGACTTATAACAAATCACTGGAAGCCTCCCCTTCTTTCAATTTTCCTTTTCTGAGAATGGTAAATCTTCAAGAAAATTTTGTGCTGGCTGGCTAGATCGTTGGTCCTGGTTGTGCTACTCTAAATTATTTGATGGAGCCTTTTGTTATTATTGCGTTTTTTTCGGTCATCAAACAGGACATAATGGTTCAAAGCTTAGTAAATTATTTAAGGAACCCTTCAGAAACTGGCAATGTGCGGCAACAAAATTTTACCAGCATGACAAATATTCCCTAATTCACCGTGACTCCAAGTTACGTTTGTCGCAGTTCCAACGTATGATGAAAGGTAAAACTATTGGCATCGACGAACAAGCCGATCATCTTAGAAGTGCCCGCATTCAATACAATCGTGACGTTTTAGGCTCTATTATTAAAACTATTATACTGGCAGGCAGACAGAATCTTCCCTTACGATGCCATCGAGCAGATGCCAATTGTTGTAAGGTATGTTGACTCAAAGCAAGAAATTAATGAACGATTTATTGAATTTGTTGAGTGTGAAGGAATGACTGGCGAAGCGCTAGCGAAGAATATCGAAGATACTTTAAACGAAGTTGGGCTACTACTTTCCAACTGTCGTGGTCAGTGCTATGATGGTGCCAGTGCAATGTCAAGCAAATCAAAGGGAGTTGCTTGTCGTATTTTAAAGAAAAATCCAAAAGCTTTGTATATCCATTGCGCTAGTCATCGATTGAACCTTGTTGTTGCTAAAGCATGTGGTGAGCAAACTGTCAAAAACATGTTGGGGCATGCTCAAAGATCTTCAGTTTCTTCAGCCCATCCCCCCTACGAATGCAGTGCTTGAGGCAGAATATGGAAAAGTCTGGGTTACGTCGTAAAAAACTAGGAGCTCCATCCACAACGCGTTGGGTTGAACGGATACGTACACTTGATGGATTTGTGGAAGCATTTGTACCTGTTTGTCAAAGTTTAGAGTACATGAAGCTCAATATGAATAAAGATTTTGATAATTCAAGTAGGGACGCAGAGGGATATCTTCGTTCCATAAAATCTTTCGAATTTATTGTTAATCTTGTGATTACATCAAATGTTCTGCATCACACAATGTCGTTGACTGTCCAACTGCAGCAAAGGATGATCGATATCGCTGAATCAATTAAACATATAAATCTTTTGAAGTCACAATTAAAAATTTTACGCAGCTCGGCTGATACAATTCATGACCAATACTACGAAGAAGCAGTGGATTTAGCAAACAGAGTAAACGTTGATGAAAAATTCCTCGACTTTGCAATGTTCAGACAACTCGTGAAAACTATCCTGCACATACAGCACGTGAATACTACCGCATGAAACTAACCATCCCTCTTCTTGATCACTTGATTGAACAGATGGAATTTCGGTTTTCTTCAGAGGTGTGCGATATTTATCGTGGATTCTATATTATACCTAGTATTTTTCTCAATTGCAAGGACGTTAATTGGAAGGAAGAGTTTATGAAGTTTGCTGTTGCATATAAAGAGGATATGCCACACTTTCGGAAAATACATGCTGAATTAGGATTGTGGGAAACAAATTGGAAAGGGGGCTTTGAGAAAGTTAAGTACGATTCAATTGCCGACACGCTTCGAACTTGTAACAAACTTGCGTTTCCAAATATATTTACAGCGCTTAAGATACTCGCTGTTGTGCCAGTCACTACATGTGAGTGTGAAAGATCCGTTTTGCCCTTCGTCGAATGAAAACTTGGTTACGTAGCACAATGATCAACGAAAGGTTAAATGGATTAGCCCAAATGCATATTAATGATGATATTAAGTGTGATGTCGAAGAAGTGATTAATACCTTTGCTAGACAAAACCCAACGAGGATGCAATTTCTTGATATCCTGGAGGATAAAGAAACAGATGCTTGACGATGAGCTCCATGAGAAATTCTTAATGCTGATAAACAACCTACATTTTCTTTGAGAGTTATCTTGTTTTCAGCCGTTATTGAGAGGACGAAGACCACGTTTAAACATTGATTTTCTTAAACATTTCATCTTTGCTGTGGTTGGAAGAAGACGATCTTTCAACATTGCTTTTATAATTGTTGTCATCTTTGCTGCCGTTAGAAGAAGACCATCTTTGAACATTGCTTTTATTAAACTTTTCATCTTTTTTTACCGTTGGAAGAAGACCACCTTTGAACATTGCTTTTATCAATGCTGTTATCTTACAAAAGACGGCTCATGTTATTTTTTCGATAAAATTTACGCTTAAGATTTTTCTGTCACCTTTCCCAAATCGCTGGAAAATGCTTCTCGGATAGTGAAAATTCAAAAATTTTCTGGGGGAGCATGCCCCCAAACCCCGCTAGGGGTGGCTCGCGCCTTCGGCGCTCGCAATGCATCGGTCAGCTAAGGAGCTGGATCCGCGCCTGTCGCTGAGTAGAACTAGAAGTAACGTTTTTCAAGTCGACAAGAATCGAGCTATTGCATATGACTTGTATTTATTGCGCAATCAAAATACATTCACCGTGGCTCACCGTGGCGCACATGACCAAAACGTTCCCTGTGATTGGCTTGCAACGCTGCACCGTGGCTAAAGGTTACTATATTTAGCAACTATTGCGAAATTTTTTGAACGCTGACCGTGGCATTTCATTCTGAGATTGCAGGTTCGAATTTACGAACATATTCCGAGCATATTCATGGCGTATTCGGCAAGATTCGAGACGCTTTCGGTGATTTTACAGTTCAGAGTTTAACTGGTTGACAATACTATTTTAACAAGACGTTTAATGTGAAGTTTTTGTTCTGTTAACACAAATTTTTGACAAAAAATTACAATATTCATTCAATTCTTGCTTTTGATCGAATTTTGCTATATTTGAGCAAAATTTTTAATCATGAAAAAGTCAACCCTGGAAAGACTTAAGTGGCAGAATTCTGACCGTGGCTCAAGCCAATTTCGCCATGGCTTAGATCCGCCCCTGAGTGGGCCATATTCAACGCCAGGGAAACAAGCTACCATCATACCAATTAACTTGGCCACTTCCCGTATGATAGGAGAGTCAGATTTTAGCACCCCCCTGGCAACCTCGCATAATTTGTTGTGTTTCTCTATGGATAGAGATAGTCATATCTATTGAATTTAACATAAACCCAAATGTTGTAAAATCTGTGTGGGTTCTGTAACAGATTTATCTTTATGGGGTAAGAATCCTAACTCCTAACTTCTGAAACAATTGTAGAGTGTCATGTACGTTTTGCTCGCATTCTGAATAGGAGTAGCACATTAAAAAAGACTCATCAATGTAACCGTAATAGAATTGTGCCTAAGCTCCCTCAGCTTAGAACATACAGGCTTGAGTATCTTTGTAAATAAACGTGGAGCGGAAGATAATCCTTGAGCAAGGCATGTGAAATGGTACAGATTACCTTTCTTTGATGCTCTATGTGCATTGGTATTGAGTAAAAGGCATCTCTGAGGTCAACGGATGCCATGTAGCCCCCATGTCGCATGAGCTGAGTACAAGTATGGATAGATTCCATTTTAAAGTGGTGATATGTTACAAATGTGTTAAGCTCTTTTAGGTTTAATATCGTTCTAAAAGATCTATCTTTCTTTGCTCTAAGAAAGATATTGGAGATAAACTCGCCCTGTTCATGCATGCTTGCAACAATGATACCTTTCTCTAGAAATTTTGTAACTTGACGATCGACATTTTGGACTTCCAAAGGAGACATTTTTATAGAGTGGGGTTGTTTCAGCTGGATTGAGTCTAAAAGAAAATCAATCTTTTATCCGTTTACAGCTGATAAAACGGAAGGATCATGAGTTAGCTCCCTCCACTTCCCAATAAATTAATGTATCCGCCTGCAACTATACTACAATCATTGTCTCCCCAGATATGATAGAAGTACTACACCCACGTTTACTAGAACTTACATGGTCGAGAATAGGAGTCACTGCTTTCTTAGTGTTTTTCCCCCTGTTCCGACTGTCCTCTTGGGTTGGTTTTGATAGTACTTGCGTCTTTGGGGTCGGCTTTGCAAATGACCGCCCCGACGTTGGGATAAAAAAGGCACATTGGAATTATATGAGCTGGTCGACCGTTGATCGTTGCGTTTCCGTTTTTGGCTTGTCAGTTGCTGTGCAGCCTTTTTGCTTTCTTTTACTGTTTTCAGGCGTTCCTTTAAATCATCACCAAACAGTTCTGCAGCAACAGGTTCTTTGTTACTACAGATTGCCTTGTAATTTTCATAAAGGTCAACTTTGAACAAGTCCGTGCGGCACATGTTCAGATCATAATTAGCTGAAGCGAGAAGCACAACAGTTGTGGACAGACCATCCCAGATAACCTCTGGTGTCGGTGCAGGTGTTGTAGGGATTGTTTCAAGAGAGGTACTAATCGTTCCCGCAATTCGGGAAATCGGAATGAGGCCCTTGATTAAGGCTTCTTATAATTTTTGTAGACGTACATACATGCTACGTGTGGATTTTTTAGCAATGTCCCAAATTTCTTGGTTCACCTTTGTAACTCTTAACAGGTCACAGTTTTCGGGGCGTTAATAATATTAGTTGGCAATGGTTGGTCTGTCGGTTAATTCTCCGTCACTTTGTGAATCAGCTCATCTACCAAAGCATCGCTCTGGTTTGCTAGAGCAGGTGCTGTATCTAAAACTACAGCAGCAGCCCCGTTGGTTTAGTGTTCGTCGTCAGTTTCTCCTTCAGACATATTAACACCATGGTTCATTTGGCGTGCGTCATCATAAGCCTGCTTGAGCTCTTTTACGACAGGAGCAAAAGTATTCATCAAGGCAGTAAGTTGATCGACCTTCCTGTTAAGGTCATCCAAAATAGTTCTCCCGTCATTTCCTTCTTCTAGGAGATTGTTGTTGTTGGCTTCAGCAGGGTGTTTATACCCGCCCCCCCAGATTTGCTCATTTTCCCTTGTAGAGGAGACCGTTTCTGTTGCGGTTCATCGTTTACATTCACGTCTCCTAATAAGCCCGACAGCATCGGATTAGGTTAGTTATGCAAGAGAGTCAAGTCGTCAGCTTGCT